AAAAAAAAAAAATCTTTTGACTTCTAATCTCCCACCTTCTGCCCATATCGGACTTCTAATCTCCTTGACTGATAGTCAGTGCAGTTCGAGCACGAAACGAGTTCTCTGTATGTCTTTGATGCCGGGAACCATCCTTCCAGGTCATACTTCTTAGCAGCAGCATCATTCAGTGCCCCTGAGACGATCGACACGACTTGGTACGGAATATTCAGCTGCCCACACAATGAATCAATTGGATAAATTTGGATAAAAGAGCGCAGCCAGTTTTTGGAGAAAACATGTGAAACTAAACAATTTATTTGGTACTGTAAAAATGGCGCTATGCTGTGTACGAGAAGTTTGATCAGGGATAGGGGAGCTGAGAAGGATTATACCAGTTTGTAGAAATCCTCGGCATTCTTTAGCATCTCTTCATGCATCTCCCAGGAGTCATTTCCATTTGGGCTGGTTACACAGAATTGTTCTACCTTTTCAAATTGATGAACACGGAAAATTCCCAAAGTATCCCGACCATGTGAACCCGCTTCTTTGCGGAAGCACGACGAGTATCCAGCATATCTGACATAAACGGTAACATCAGACTATTGAAAATGGAAAAACGAAAAGGAAATAAGAAATATACACACCCCCACAAAACCAATATAAAACTTTTGGGCGCTTAGATAAAAATGGAAGAAGTTAGAAAAGGTTAGAATATCAGACACATTAACCAGACAAGCAAACCACTACATTTTACAGAGATGAAAGATCTGATACCTCAATGGTAGTTGCGAAGGGTGAATCCAATCGTCCAGATGATATGCGCAAAGCGGTTGTTCAGCAGTGGCAATCAGATATTTATCATCTCCATCACCACTTACCTGTAGCACAAGTTCAAAACTACATGGGTACAACAATGACAAAATGGCTACATTATGATACAAAGCAGAGTATTAATTTTTCAAGAAAAACACAAGCATGCAATACTGCTCAACGGCTTCCAGCATCTAAACAGAATTTTTGATGACATTCATAAGGTAGACCAACTTAGCTATACTCTTTGAATTCCTAGGTTGAACTATTCATGTTCTCAACACTTCATCACTAAACGCAACCACGCTTCCAAATCAAATTGTTTCCTGAAATTAACATCGCTTGCTAACTAAACAAAATGACCAAAGCACAATGGGCTTGAAGATAGAAAGATTCTAAAACAGCATGCAGATATCACTGAAATACCACATCTTCAATTACTTCATGGTGAAAATAGTTCTTCTTTTCCATATTTAACTAGATAAGTAACCTTGTAAAGTTCCTCATCGAACTGAGCCAACTGAGCACATTTTGCCATAATATCTTTTCTCATGAAGAAAGGGGTCTGCAAAGCAGTAAAGCCCCTCTTCTCCAAAAAATCAAGAGCCAAGTTAATTAGAGCTTGATTGAGCCGTACTCCGTCCCCTTTGAGATAGAAACCTCTGCCTCCCGCTACATTTGCACCTAAAAACATCCACATAATTGCATTAGCAAACTAGCTATTATATTGAAGACGAGTGAATGAAATTTAAGACAGAGCAACACAATTATGAATTTAATGCAATAAAGAGAAGCTCCATAAATTCTAGATACAAAATCTTTCAGAAAGCAATCAAGGGAATTCTTACTGCTCTACAAAGACACTCAATTCCTATGCTCAAGTTAAGCACCTCTCGGCCAATAAAGAAAATTGACATTCAAAAGCTACTGCACGCTTAATAAACCACAGAATTGGAGAGAGAACAGTCTGTTAATAAATAGCAATAACGACTCAGGGCACCCAAACAATCAGAATTCATAAACTCTTGGAAATATTTCCTAACTTTTGTCAGGGTAAAACCCAACAGCTGTTAACAAAGCCCCCGCATCAATATAATCCATTACTTGGTGTACAGTGTACATATGTCTCTGTTTGTTGGAACACGTGACAATGTGCTATTTGAATGCGATTTCCAAATTTTCTTACAAAAATAATATATACTCAAGCAGTCATAATCTTGTACATATAACTCATGGGACAACTCAAAAACCCAACTTAAAACAGTCTTGACAAGTAATCATGCTTTTAAAAGTGAGCACCTTTCTTTAAATCTGCAATTCCAAGAAGCTCAACAAGCTCCACATGATTCTTCAGCTTTGGTTCAGTTCTCTTCTCTCCCCATGACTTAATAATGGCATTATTATCCTACAAAACATCTCCATCAATCATTGCAAAACTTATAGATCATGGGAGAACAGGAATCAAAAAGTGAAAGGAACCTTCTACACACCTCATTATTGTCAACTGGAACCGAATCATGAACTAAGTTTCCAATTATAGTCAATTTAGACTGCACTGCAGCTAGGGCCTCCTGCACCTGTACCTCTTTCTTGGCAGTCAAATCCTTGTTCTCCTCAGTAGAGGCAATCATTCCACTTGCATCTTCTTTCGCCTGAAACCATAAAGTTACGAAATACAAAATTTAAAACATAAAGAGAGGCTGTCAGAATCCTTAAGGTTCTGATATATAACTTGTATGCACTAATAGATGCATCTACTGTCAAAGCAATAATTAAGGCCCATTTTTGTCGTTCAACAATCTAAACTACCAGAAAAAAAAAGGTACATATTCTGTATGCAAACGGCTACATTTCATCTTCTTGTTTCATATGACCCAGTAACAGGCTTACAACTAGGGTTGTAAACGAATGGAATCGAAGCGAATACTCAGAGATTCAATTCGAATTCGTTAAAATATTCGAAGATTCAAATTCGTATTCGATTCGTTAGCGAACTCATTTTTTGATCGTATTCGATTCGTTCAGAATATTCGAACATATTCGATTCGAAATACGTTTTCGAAAAAAATTATAAGTGAAAAATATTATAAAACAAAAATAATTTTATTTTTCATATATTTTTAGGAAAATTTGTTAATTTATGATGTTTTTACTTTTTATGTCATAAAAATAGTAGGAATATAACGATATATACATACATATATATTATAAACAAAATATATACTATATATAATTTATAAAATTTATATAATTATTGTTAACAAATCGAATATTCGAATTTCGAATCGAATATCTAAAATTTCTGAATTCGGATTCGTTTAACTTTCAAATATAAAATATTATTCGTATTTGAATCACGAATATCGAATTGGGAATCAAAAAAATTTGATTTGTTTACAAGCCTACTTACAACACAAAAAATGCCCCCAAGTAAAAGCTACACTTCCATACAAGACGAAGCAAGAGAAAAGGGAAATACAATTAGCAACTCCTTCACCCACAGTCCACACTTTTTATCCTTTCTACTAATCTAGGCACAGGAGAACATTCACCCCATAAATTATTCTATGTGCATTTTGATGAACACCTCTGAAGCCTTATTTTCATTCAAGAAATACACGCTAACTGATCACGAAAATAATGTACTTCGATACCACTCACAATTTTGAGGCGGGCAATCTCTTTGCTTAGCCTGTTCCTATCTGTCCTCAACCCATCCAACTCGAATTGCCCTACAACAATATCACCACCTCAATGTCGGCATAAATCCAAAAATCGATTAGGAAAAAAAAAATGTACAAATGTGGAAACTGTAAGAGTGACAGTGGATTGAATAGTTACGCTGCCGCCAAACTTTGTCGAGCTCGATGACCTCGTCTACAAGATCAGCGTTTGCAAAACGACGCCGCTGAGACTCCCTAATTTTCTCAGGGTTCCCGCCTTTCTCTTCACGAAAGAGGTTGATGTCCAACATACTAACAGTCCGTCCTAATCGGCTACCTTTCCCCGCAGATTACAGCTTCCGTCCGATGCTCGGGCTCTTCAGAACAGAGAAATCGTTTTGGAGCGCGTCGCGGCCGCGCGTGCAGGATAAGCGGCTGATCGTAGCGGTGAGAAAACAGACGAAGGCCCGGAATACTGTAATTTTGGGGAAGACGCTCAGAGTTCGAAATTAGGGTTGAAAATAAAAGCATTCTGGCGGTCATTTTAGTCAACTGGGGCCGGAGTGGGCCGATTTGGAAATGGGACAGTTGTATAAACTATGGGCCGAACGAGACCTTCAGTTTACAGCTCCGAAGCGCAAGTCAAACTAGACAAAAAAAAAACAAGAGAAAATTACCCTCCGGACCATCCTAGCTTTTTATATGGCCCATTATACGAGCTAAAAAAAATAATCGCACATTAGGTTCCATGAAGTCACATTGACGAGAATATAAGTTTCAATACCACTTTGGTTCCTTTAATTAATTATTAATTATCTTCTGTGATTTTTCCTCCATCACCGCCCGCCTCTTCACGCAAATAAATTTTCACCCCGTCTTTCACGCACCATCCCTTGTAGCCGCCTGTCACCCCTGCGAAGCCCCTTTTCAATTATCCTCCAGCGACCGATTTCACTAGAATTAAGGTTGTGAAATACAAGAACCGACTTGATGAAGGTGTCCAACAGATCCACGAGAGCTTCTCCGCCTATGCCACTGGCGGGAGGTTTGCATCCTCATCGCTATCGAATCAGTCGCTAACGTCACCCTCGATTCGAGATCTTCTCTCTGTCTGATTCCTTTCTCCCACTGTCGGCGCCACCGTCACCGTAAGGAGCTGGGAATCGAAAAGGTGTGCTTTACTAAATTATTTGGATCCATAGTTGTGATTTACTGATTTAGGGTTTAGCTTTTTCTTTTT